ATGGAGGATGCTGCATTACAGCTTTGGGGATAAAAGTGGTTGAAAGTTCTAGAAGCCACAGCAGCACAGTGAAACAAATAAACACAATCTGCTTTTAAAGGAATTACTCATGGCATTTTGCTGGTCAAAACACCAGGATAACTGGCTAAAGCAGAACAGATGGTGATAGGAGTGGGTCAATACTGAAGGGATGGCATCATTTTACTGCTTCAGCCTGGCTGATTAGTAGACTTGAATAAACTGTGCTAAGTCTTTAGTATTGGTTTTATCTTTTTGCTTGCTGTTTGTGTTCTATAGGTTTCTCTGACTGAAACCTAGTTAGTTCCCTGAGAAGGCAGGTGCTGAGCTATCTACCTCCAGAGCTGCCAAAGGTTTAGAGAATCTGCATCCAAACCAGAAACTCAATTGCCTTGAGATCAACTATAAATGGATATATCTCAGGTACTGAAGCCATTGATGTAATGACACAGAAGGACATTTTTTTTACTATTATCGGACACAGCAGACCACAATTTAGTTTGGCCTTTCTGAAAGTTTGTGGTCCTCTAACATGTCTTTCCAGGCAAAGATACAGCACCATGTATGCCAATAACACAGGTGGTTGGTAAATTCTTGTGTCTGCGTTAAGGTTAAACATGGAATGAAAATGCTAAGTACATCTTTGAAATACAAAAAAGCACACAACCTTGTTGTTATAAATCAGAAGCTATTTCCCTAAAACACAGCTTTAAGGGACTGACTTTAAAGTCATCTATTTTTAAAAGTGAAGTGGCTTATTTTTTTGGTACACTACTTATATTTGACTTACATGGGAATATATTAATTGCATGTAATATGCTTGGAATGTGTGGAAAATAACATTTTTTCCATGTGAGTCAGCACAGGAAATGAACTGCAAATGAGTAAAATGTTGAGAAGTCTACAGATCAGTTTTTTTTTAAAATACACAATGTTTTTCAAGAGTAGAGTATTGACATCATGTTTTCTTCAAGAGTAAAGTGTTACAGAGATGACTGATGACACACCAGGGACTGAAGAAGAGAAAGAACTTGTTTCTGGTCAGCATAGTTTAAGTCTCTAATCTGATCCAACATTAATTTAATAATTTCTAACTTTTCTGATGCCAGGCAGCTTTGCCTCCACTTCTTGGACATTGCCTACACTTACCACATTCTTGCTAAACACAGAAAATGGTAGATAACACTAGATAAACTCAGAGGTGTTCTGACTTGATTTTTTATTCACAGTGATAAAAAAAAAACAAAAACAAACCAGTGTCTTTTAAATAATAATGTAGTGATACATTCCAGAAGATACTTTGATTTTTGAATTTTTCCCTCGTCAGGGCTATAAGCAGGGATAAATGTTATCAGTCAGAACAGCAAATGAATGGGTTTCTAGAAGTCTTACCGTGAGTGGATATTCAGAGGTGGATATATCCAGGAAAATATGTAACCCATTACAGAGCTGAATCTTCAGTCCTAAACTAACCAGTGCTTGGAGCGCACACGGTCAGAACAGTGAGCAGTAGAAGGGATTAGAGAGTCTAGTCCAACACACTATTGCTCTGAAATTACACAAATTATTACTGTTGACTTCAGTATTAGAACTGTCAATTCTATTGGACTATTTGATGCTGCAAGAAGGCCCCACAAATGTAAGATGGAATCTCAGAGCTTCCTTGAACCTGAAATTTTCTCCCCTATTTAATTTGGTTGAAAAACACCACTTCAAAATAAAATTTTCCTTGTGTTTACTGAAGTGGAACTTTATCTCCAGTCTAGTACAGTTACCAGGAACACTTTGACTCCTGTCTTTAGTTTGAGGTATGAAGCACACTGTTAATACTCTTTGTGCTTTTTGAAATCAAACCAATAAACAGAATTTCTGATTATGTTGCATTGCACTCTGGGATGCATGGAAAGCATGTGAAAGAGTAAGTTTGCATTATATCCTAGTAAACATCTTTCTCTGAATGCTGAAACCAATTACATGTATTTGGCTTTTATCTCATGACTGTACTTTTGTCAAATGAACAGAGAAGCACACGTGCTGAATCCAAAGGCAACATTTGGCTCACAGTGCCTAACAATCAAGGAGGGATGATACACATATTTTTTTGTAGGAAGATAATATTTCATGCTCCTTTGCTTTAGTTTTTCTGTGAAAAGAGCAGCACGGGGAGCCTGCTGCCTCTGCTCCAGCGTCCTGTTACTAGGCTACAGACAAATTCTGCCACGCTAGTGAGACTGAAGTTCTGCACATTCACGCTATGCACAGTTCATCATGCTGCCCTGTACCAAACACAGCTGCTTAGTTCATAGATCAGACAGCCATTTAAGGTGAACCTGGAATCATTCTTGGTGGCAAA